CGCCCAACAACAAACTGTCGCAGAGGAGAGTAAAATCGTATACAGCACCACACATGCGTGGGAAACCTGTCCCAAATTGCCTCTCGTTTTTCCCGAGTTCTTCAAGGCACTATTAGACGCTAATAACTAGCCACTCGGCCACTATACATCAGGGCAAGGACGCACGAAAACCGTCACACAAAAGGTTCTCGTATTAGACAGTCGGTAAGTCGACATTGTCTAGCGTAGGGGTGTGGAACGGAACACACGGTCGCGTCTGCGGGACTAGGTCTACGCGCCGAGAAAAAAAAAAGCGGTACAGACCGCATGGGCGGATTGGGGGACTAGTGGGGGGGGGAGGGACGCGGGTAGCCATAAATCAGTGTCGAAACACGAGAAATCGAAGGATGGAGAGGTGATATGGCGGAAATGACTACTATCACAATTCACGTTCATGCCTAGGAATCTTGCTCATGCAGTCGACCAGTGGTTTAGTTCTACAACTCGAGTGCCCACCGGGACCGAGGCGTAACACAGAGTCTCGCGACGGCCGCTAGATGCACCAGCGGGAACGGGGTTACAAAGTCCACCGCAACAAACGAAGCGTGACGCACACAACTTCACGCTCTCTTACCTTGCACACGCGCCGCGCTCAAATGTGCAGTCGCGAGCTCTGCGTCGAGCCGCACCCATGCATTCGGGTCACCGCATAAGCGCCATTGCGGTTAGGGTTACCGCATTTGGAAGACCTTGCCGCAAAAGCGGCATGCGCCCTGCCGCGATCATTCGCGGCATTAGCGGCGATAGCTCAGGATTAACCCACATGGGCGTAACCCCGTCATGTGCGACACACTCCCGCTGCCTCATTCGCCTAACATCATCACCCCACTACAACCGCAGATTGCTCAACGTGTCAACAGGCGATCGGCTCTGAATGAATCGTACCAAGAGCAGACGCAACAGTGAGCTCCGCCACAGGCTCGCCCTCTCATGCGCCAACCCACGAAAGCCCCCTATCATTCTCTCGTGTCCGTCTGCCTCTCGTTCAGCTCCAAGCTGTTCACTGCATTCAAACGAACTCGACCTCGTGCTATCTCTCTGATACCCTACCTCGAACTCCCCATTGAATACAACCTCCGAGGAAGTTCCCATCTCATGCCCTCTCTCTACCTCCCCCATCCTTCCAACCTCCACCGTTCTCCCCTCATATAGCCCCCCCCTTCATTCTCCCCCCATCCAGCTCCCCCATTCATTCTCCCATGTCTAGAGCACCCCCTTTCATTCTCCCCCCATCCTGCACCCCCTTTCATGATCCCCCCATCCAGCTCCCCCTGTCATTCTCCCCTGTCTCCAGCACCCCCTTTCATTCTCCCCTGTCTCCAGCACCCCCTTTCATTATCCCCCCATCCTCCACCCCCTTTCATGACCCCCCCATCCAGCTCCCCCCTTCATTCTCCCCCCATCCAGCACCCCCCTTCATTCTCCCCTGTCTCCAGCACCCCCTTTCATTCTCCCCTGTCTCCATCACCCCCCTTCATTTCCCCTAGTCGTCACCCCCCTTCATTCTCCCCCCATCCAGCTCCCCCTGTCATTCTCCCCTGTCTCCAGCACCCCCTTTCATTCTCCCCCCATCCAGCCTCCCCCTTCATTCTCCCCCCATCCAGCACCCCCTTTCATTCTCCCCCCACTCCAGCACCCCCTTTCATTCTCCCCCCATCCAGCTCCCCCCATCATTCTCCCCCCATTCAGCACCCCCTTTCATTCTCCCCCCATCCAGCACCCCCTTTCATTCTCCCCCCATCCAGCACCCCCTTTCATTCTCCCCCCTTCCAGCACCCCCTTTCATTCTCCCCCCATCCAGCTCCCCCCATCATTCTCCCCCCATTCAGCACCCCCTTTCATTCTCCCCCCATCCAGCACCCCCTTTCATTCTCCCCCCATCCAGCACAATGCCTATCATTCTCCCCCCATTCAGCACCCCCTTTCATTCTCCCCCCATCCAGCACCCCCTTTCATTCTCCCCCCTTCCAGCACCCCCTTTCATTCTCCCCCCATCCAGCACAATGCCTATCATTCTCCCCCCATTCAGCACCCCCTTTCATTCTCCCCCCATCCAGCACCCCCTTTCATTCTCCCCCCTTCCAGCACCCCCTTTCATTCTCCCCCCATCCAGCTCCCCCCTTCATTCTCCCCCCATCCAGCAACGCCTTTCATTCTCCCCCCATTCAGCACCCCTTTTCATTCTCCCCCCATCCAGCACCCCCTTTCATTATCCCCCCATCCAGCACAATGCCTATCATTCTCCCCCCATTCAGCACCCCCTTACATTCTCCCCCCATCCAGCACCCCTTTCATTCTCCCCCCATCCAGCACCCCCTTTCATTCTCCCCCCATCCAGCACAATGCCTATCATTCTCCCCCCATTCAGCACCCCCTTTCATTCTCCCCCCATCCAGCACCCCCCTTCATTATCCCCTCATTCAGCAACCCCTTTCATTCTCCCCCCTTCCAGCACCCCCTTTCATTCTCCCCCCATCCAGCTCCCCCCTTCATTCTCCCCCCATCCAGCAACGCCTTTCATTCTCCCCCCATTCAGCACCCCCTTTCATTCTCCCCCCATCCAGCATCCCTTTCATTCTCCCCCCATCCAGCACCCCCTTTCATTCTCCCCCCATCCAGCACAATGCCTATCATTCTCCCCCCATTCAGCACCCCCTTTCATTCTCCCCCCATCCAGCTCCCCCCTTCATTCTCCCCCCATCCAGCAACGCCTTTCATTCTCCCCCCATTCAGCACCCCCTTTCATTCTCCCCCCATCCAGCACCACCTTTCATTCTTCCCCCATCCAGCACCCCTTTCATTCTCCCCCCATTCAGCACCCCCTTTCATTCTCCCCCCATCCAGCACCCCCTTTCATTCTCCCCCCATCCAGCACCCCCTTTCATTATCCCCCCATCCAGCACAATGCCTATCATTCTCCCCCCATTCAGCACCCCCTTTCATTCTCCCCCCATCCAGCACCCCCTTTCATTATCCCCCCATTCAGCACCCCCTTTCATTGTCCCCCCTTCCAGCACCCCCTTTCATTCTCCCCCCATCCAGCTCCCCCCTTCATTCTCCCCCCATCCAGCAACGCCTTTCATTCTCCCCCCATTCAGCACCCCCTTTCATTCTCCCCCCATCCAGCACCCCTTTCATTCTCCCCCCATCCAGCACCCCCTTTCATTCTCCCCCCATTCAGCACAATGCCTATCATTCTCCCCCCATTCAGCACCCCCTTTCATTCTCCCCCCATCCAGCACCCCCTTTCATTCTCCCCCCATCCAGCACCCCCTTTCATTATCCCCCCCTTCAGCACCCCCTTTCATTCTCCCCCCACCCAGCACCCCTTTCATTCTCCCCCCATTCAGCACCCCCTTTCATTCTCCCCCCATCCAGCACCCCCTTTCATTCTCCCCCCATTCAGTACCCCCTTTCATTCTCCCCCCATCCAGCACCCCCTTTCATTATCCCCCCCTTCAGCACCCCCTTTCATTCTCCCCCCATTCAGCACCCCCTTTCATTCTCCCCCCATCCAGCACCCTCTTTCATTCTCCCCCCATCCTGCACCCCCTTTCATTCTCCCCCCATCCAGCACCCCCTTTCATTCTCCCCCCTTCCAGCACGCCCTTTCATTATCCCCCCATTCTGCACCCCCTTTCATTCTCCCCCCATCCAGCTCCCCCCTTCATTCTCCCCCCATCCAGCAACGCCTTTCATTCTCCCCCCATTCAGCACCCCCTTTCATTCTCCCCCCATCCAGCACAATGCCTATCATTCTCCCCCCATTCAGCACCCCCTTTCATTCTCCCCCCATCCAGCACCCCCTTTCATTCTCCCCCCATCCAGCACCCCCTTTCATTCTCCCCTGTCTCCAGCACCCCCTTTCATTATCCCCCCATCCTCCACCCCCTTTCATTCTCCCCCCATCCAGCTCCCCCCTTCATTCTCCCACACATTCAGCACCCCCTTTCATTCTCCCCCCATCCCGCACCCCCTTTCATTCTCACACCCTCGATTTCCCCCAATCATCGGGCCACCCACGACCTGCCCCTTTCATGGTCACACCCTCGTGCTCTCCCATTCATTCTCCCTTACCAGTCGTACTTTATCCCTCGCCCACCCGCTTTCATTCAACCTCTCTTGTGCTGCCCCTTTCATTCACCCCCCATCATACCCCGCACTCATTCTCACGAGAACCATCTCACTTTCATTTTCCAGCCTCCCCATTCCCCTTTCCACCTCCCACCCTTGAACTCCCCCATCTGCTACCAGGGTGCGATGGCGTCACGGGATGCGATGGGTCGGGCAGTGAAGGAAATCGCCCTAGGTCGTCGAACACCGCAATTCCCAATTTTGAGACATCTCCAGGAGCCAATAGCTCTCTTGCGAAGTGGGGCTACGCTTCTATTTGATGGGATGCGGATAGCATCGTGCGGTGACTTGATGTACCTGTACACGCTGGCGGCTCCACGCCTCACCAAACGGCTTATGTCGATAGCGGCCTCATGCGGTACGTGAGTTAGGTCTGGCTACGCAATGTCTGCCTTGTGTCGCTCGGGCATGGACCCATCGCACAATTGCTGTGAAAAATTACTCACCTCCAGCTTTTGCTCTCATCATCATCCACAGGGACGGACGGACCTGAGGCACTGGAGATTGCACGCAAGCGTCTTCGTGCACATGGCCAGGAGTTGCAGTTTGGTGGTGAGGACGTTGTGGGCCGGGCTGGAGATCTCCTGTCCCAAACACCGCGAGCGATTGTCCCCGTCGAGTATGGTTTTGCGGATTGTTTCTTCAACAGTGACGGGGTCATTGCGTCGAAAAAGGCTACAGGGGGGTCATCGCCCGCACTTGAAAAGATAGCTTTCGAACGCGGGTTGGAGGAGCTCAAACAAATAGGATTTGTGGTGAAGGGAATCATCTCCGATGAGGGAGGGTCTTTCAGGGCGGCAATTATTGACCACGGGCTGAATCATCTAATGGACGTATGGCATAAAGGTCGGAATTTGACAAGACGCTTTGTGGCGGACTTCATTGATGCCAAGGAGTCATCGTTGCGCGTACCCGAATGCAAGAGCGTGGAGGATGTCTGGCATGTGACTCCCGAACATCGGTGGGGCTGGCTTCAAGTCAGTGGGTATAAAGGGCGGCTTACCCAGGGCTCCACTAGAGAGTCACTTGTGAAGGCCGTGTGCGAATTGTTGGGCAAAATCAAATATAAAAAGATGAGAGCCACTGCTGCGGCTTGGAAGTTTCCCGCCATGCGAAAGGTGTTGCGGCTGCGTCGGAAGGGGGTAGCTACAGCGGAGGGAGATGGGAAAGAGAACAGAGGAGGGGGCGAGGAGATTGGGGAAGGACGCGCTTGAAAACGACAACGGTGCGAGGGCAATTCTGGGTCCCGATCAGCTTTGGTCGACATTCGCGTTCAACATAGTGGAGAGGGTGGGCGCGTGGATGTCGGTGGTCAGTGATTATCGACGCCCACAACAGGGAATGTAGCGGTGGAGGTGGTGTGTGACGGCAGTCTCGCAGACGGGGTGGCCAATGTAGGCGCCCGGGCTACATCTGGAGAGGGAGGTGGCGTGAGGGTGGAGAGGGGCGACATGGAGGATTTGAGGTGGGAGGATGTAAGCGAAATGTGGGGCTATGATCCGCACCCTATTCGTGGTGTCCGTCCATGCTTGGAGGCGTCGTTCCTCATCATCCAGGCTTCGGTATCAGGCAGGGTTCACACACCCGACGAGGAGGCCGATGTGGAGGACGTGACAGAGGCGGCTGAGGCCACCACTTCAGGTATGATGGTGATGATGTCATTGAGTGGGGTTGTGCCACATTCTGGCCAGACGCAAAGTAAGGGCCTCGTGTGTTTGTACATTTGTGATCAATACTCGCTCACATGTCTCCTCGTTCTTTTACTTGTGCATGTTCATGTCATTGTGCAGACACCCAGGATACGGCAGCGGGCGACGAGGATGCATTTGAGCCCCCGTCGCCTCAACGTCGCTGGGAGGAGAGGGGGACTAAGAAGAGGCGGCGGGAGGAGATGGAGGGGGTGGAAAACGACGATTTGGCCATGGATGATCTCGTCGAGGAGGTGACTGTTGGGCAGCGCTTCAGTGTTCACTTCCACCATGTCATGGTGCGCAATGCGACACTCGCAACACTGGGTTTCCCCATGAGTGCTGAGGATGTGGCAGCTGAGCTCGCCCTCGCTGCTGACCATTGGGCGGGTCTACATGGCGGTTGTGCCAGGGGAGACGTCCTCCCTCGTTGCGTGAAGGACAACTGGGGCCCTGAGAGTGCCGTGTACGAGCCTGACTCAGAGACCCACAAGGCAGTGAAAGAGTGGCTGGCCACGCACTGCAGCGCAGAACAGATGCGACCCTACGTGCTTGGGGCGGGGAGTTGGCTGAACAAATCATTCCACTCCCTCATCTGCAAGTATGCTCCAAAGCGCGTGAGGTTCTTGGGGAGCATGGAGGCTCGCATTGCGTTAGCCGTGCTCCACTGGAACAACACTGTGGAGCGGGTGGTCAAGGCATACAAAACACGGCTTCGAAAGGCGACACGGGTCAAGCGTGGCAAGAAAGATCGTGTTCTGGGCCCCATGGACTGGACCTGGGTCGACGACATCATGCGCGATTGGATGGCCTCCCGGGGGAGGCCCGAGCCTCCTCCGCCTGTTGTTACACCCGATTCCGATGCACCGGAGTCCGTTCCCCCACGTGACCGTGAGGATCTTTTTTCCACCCCACCTCCAGCCACAGTGTTTCGTCCAGGGGGGGAATCGACCAGCAGCACAAGCTCGTGGTCCAAGAGGCGCCACAGGACCGTGCGTGGCCCCCGCCCGTCCCGTGCATGGTGTCGTCTCACGTGTAAGTGTCGTGTTTACTCGCCTATCATCATCCTTTTGATTCTAATTGTCACGCTGCACATGACAGACCTGCCCCTTTCACTCATGTGTGCTATGATGTTCGTAATCTCCAGATGAGCCCATGCCGCGGTAATCAAGTTCATGCTACCCTGTCTCCCCCAAAGAAACGTGCACGCAAGATGCCTCAATGGTGAGAAATACTTGAGCCACTGAGATCAGCTCTACTGATTTTGGACTTATAATTACGCATCCACAAGAGGTCTTACACCACAATGCTTCGAGCACACTCTGTGATAATCCCCTTGTGTTTTTGTAGGTACCTGGATTACGAGTTCAGCGAGGAGCAACCGCCGGAACCTGAGAAGCAGCGCAAGAAGGGCAAGGTAGGTCCAATCTACTCGACAAACCAACACATTGCCTCTCCTTCATATCTCTCGTTCAGCGCCACGCTCTGCATTGTTTTCACCCACTGCGCCCCCGCGTGCTCAAGGTTACTGACTATATGCCACCAACTCCCACCCCACCCCCCCCCCCCCCCCCCCTTCCCACAACGCCCTGCCCCCTCCCAATTCACAGCGGGACGGAGGGAGACCAAGGAGCGGAGCAAAGGAGAGGAGTGGGCGGTGATGCATCGTTGTATGGAGTTGAAGCAGGGGCAGCCGGGGAGCCGACCGAGAGAGGGTGTTTCGAGATGGAGGGGGATTTGTACCAAAGTGGGAGAAAGCTGGGAAGTGAAGAGTGCGGTGTGAAGGAGAAGGTGAGGGAGAGACCGAGGGCGCGAAGGAAGACGAGGTTAGAGCAAGGGATGGCAGCAGGGGGGAGGGGGGAGGAGAGATTCAATGGGGTGCCTGCATGAGGGGAAAGAGTGGGTTGAGAAGGACCATGGGCGTATAAGGGGAGGAGGATCTTGGACGATTGAGAGGATGAAAAAGAAGAGGGGGCTTGGAAGCAGCTTTTGGTAGCGACTCTTTTGGGCTTGGAAGCAGCTCATTCTTTGCAAGGGAGTAGTGGTGGCCACGCTGGGAGTGGTGGACCCCCCCAATGGTCCTATGTCAGGTGCGAGGATGTGCGAGCACTGTTGGGTAAACAGGAAGAACGTGGAAGAGACGGCGGGGAGGCAGACGGAAGGAGAACTGGACAAGGAGGGGAGCAGAGTGGGGGAAGTGTGAAACGCTCCTGTCAGCATCCTCGCGCTCCTGGTTGGGCGCAACCAGAGGGAGCAGACGGCAGTGCGGGGGTGGGGGAGGGAAGGGGAGGTCGGGAGGCAGCACCAGATGGCGGCCCCCTGACGGCCTTCTCTCCATTCTCGTGGGCCGCAACAGGAGGGTGGGTCGTTGAGTGGGGGTGTGGTAGGGAGGGTGGTGAGGGGCAGCAAGGGGATGCGAGCAGGACACGTGTAGCAGGGGGACGAGATGACGACATGGGTAGCAGGAGTGCGTGCACTGTCGCCGTGGCGGCGTGGCCCTGGAGGGGAGAGGAATGCCTCGGGGAGGAAGTTGGGGATTGGACGGAGGGTAGTGGGGGAAAGGCCCCCCGAATTGCGGGGAGGGACGAGATCGAGGGGGGGAAAGAGAGGGTAGGAGTGGGTGAAAGGGAGGGTGTTGTTTGGGTGAATCCCGATTGGTAGTGCGGGAATGGGAGGGAAGTGGCCCTCGAGCTGAGGGTTGGCGTTGGGGGAAGGAATATTGTGTGGGAACAGGGCAAGGGAGAGTGGGGTATCGGACGGGGAGGAATGGGGGAATGGACGGGTGGGAGTGAAGGAAAAGACGGGGGGCGCAGGCAGCAAACAACGAGGGGTGGGTGTCGGGGGAGGAAATGGGATAGGGAGAGAGAGTAATCGCTGGAGTGGAGGGGTGGGAGCAGCTGGAGGGGAGCAGTGGCGTGGGGGAGAAGGGAGCCCTAAGGGAGTACAGGGAACTGACGCGCGAAGGGAAAGGAGGCGGCGTAGTCGGGGGAGAGCAGATGGGGGGTTCAAAGGCAAGGGAAGGGTACGGAGTGGTGGCAAGCGAAGGGAGCGAAGTGGGAAAAACGTATGGCAAATTGCGGATTTGCTAATGGAAAAGGGTTGAACGAAGAGGAATGGAGGGTGAACAGGGGGGTGAGATGGGATGAGTTAAGGGGGAAGGGGTGTGAGCGGAGGGAGAGAGAGAGAGCAAGGAGCAAGGGAGTGTGCAGGGCAATATTGGGCTGTGGAAATAGACCGAGAAGGGGGGAAATGGGTGAGAAGGGGGGAAAGAGAGTGAGCAGGGGGAAAGAGAGTGAGCAGGGGATAAAGGAGTGAGCAGGGGGGAACCGAGTGAGCAGGGGATAAAGGAGTGAGCAGGGGATAAAGGAGTGAGCAGGGGATAAAGGAGTGAGCAGGGGATAAAGGAGTGAGCAGGGGGGGAGAGAGCGCGCATGGGAGTGGAGGCGACAGGAGGGGGTAGTGTTGGGCAACGACTCCGGGGAATGGGATAGTTGGCGTGAGGGAGATGGAGAGTTGGCGTGAGGGAGATGGAGAGTTGGCGTGAGGGAGATGGATAGTTGGCGTGAGGGAGATGGAGAGTTGGCGTGAGGGAGATGGATAGTTGGCGTGAGGGAGATGGATAGTTGGCGTGAGGGAGATGGAGAGTTGGCGTGAGGGAGATGGATAGTTGGCGTGAGGGAGATGGAGAGTTGGCGTGAGGGAGATGGAGAGTTGGCGTGAGGGAGATGGAGAGTTGGCGTGAGGGAGATGGAGAGTTGGCGTGAGGGAGATGGAGAGTTGGCGTGAGGGAGATGGAGAGTTGGCGTGTGGGAAATGAGAGTTGGCGTGTGGGAAATGAGAGTTGGCGTGAGGGAGATGGAGAGTTGGCGTGTGGGAAATGAGAGTTGGCGTGAGGGAGATGGAGAGTTGGCGTGTGGGAAATGAGAGTTGGCGTGAGGGAGATGGAGAGTTGGCGTGAGGGAGTCGGAGAGTTGGCGTGTGGGAAATGAGAGTTGGCGTGTGGGAAATGAGAGTTGGCGTGTGGGAAATGAGAGTTGGCGTGTGGGAAATGAGAGTTGGCATGTGGGAAATGAGAGTTGGCGTGTGGGAAATGAGAGTTGGCGTGTGGGAAATGAGAGTTGGCGTGCGGGAAATGAGAGTTGGCGTGCGGGAAATGAGAGTTGGCGTGTGGGAAATGAGAGTTGGCGTGCGGGAAATGAGAGTTGGCGTGCGGGAAATGAGAGTTGGCGTGCGGGAAATGAGAGTTGGCGTGCGGGAAATGAGAGTTGGCGTGCGGGAAATGAGAGTTGGCGTGCGGGAAATGAGAGTTGGCGTGCGGGAAATGAGAGTTGGCGTGCGGGTAATAGAGAGTTGATGGGGGGGAAATGATAGTTGGCGTGAGGGAAAGGGAGAGTTGGCGCGAGGGAAAGGGAGAGTTGGCGTGAGGGAAAGGGAGAGTTGGCGTGGGAGGAAATGGGATAGGGAGAGAGGGTAATGGCAGGGTTGACGGCAAGGGGTTGGAAGCGTGCGGGAGAACAAAGTGAGCCGGGGGGAAAAGAACGAGAAGGGGAGACAGAGTGAGCCGGGGAGTGGGGCACGGGACGCGGGGGTGTGGGGGATTGGGCGGGTGGTAGTGAGGGAAAGGGAGCATTAGCGTGGGGAAATGGCCGGTTCCCGTCGGGTGCAGGGAGGGGTAGCGACGGGGCAGGATGCGTTGGCGCAAGTGAACCAACAACTTGAGGAAGAGTGGATAGGGGATTGGGGGGGAGAGGGGGAAGGGAACGAGAAGGGAGACAGACAGAGTGAGCCGAAGAGAAGCGACGGTGCAGGGGAAACAGGGCGAGCCAGGGAAGAGAGGGCGACGGGAGAATGAGCAGGGCGTAGGGAGGGGGGAACGTTGGCGACGGGCGGGGGGAGTGAAGGCGACGGGCGGGGGACTTGAAGGCGACGGGAGGGGGAAATGAAGGCGACGGGAGGGGGAAATGAAGGCGACGGGAGGGGAAAATGAAGGCGACGGGAGCGGGAAATGAAGGCGACGGGAGGGGGAAATGAAGGCGACGGGAGCGGGAAATGAAGGCGACGGGAGGGGAAAATGAAGGCGACGGGAGCGGGAAATGAAGGCGACGGGAGGGGGAAATGAAGGCGACGGGAGGGGGAAATGAAGGCGACGGGAGCGGGAAATGAAGGCGACGGGAGGAGGAAATGAGGTTGCATTTCGGGGGAAATGAAGGCGACGGGAGGAGGAAATGTTGGCGACGGGAGGGAGAAGTCACGGTACTGGCCCATCATGCGTGGATGCGTCTCCCTTTTTGGTATGCGGGCAATCCGCATTTATGGTGTGACGCCATCGTGGCACGCGGAAACGCTACTGGCGGGACGAGAGGCAGGAATCGCAGCCTGCAAGCTGACTTACCTACGGGCGTTATACAAGCGGGCTATCCATCACTTCTATTTGGGCGGCGATAGGATCTGTTGCCGTCGCTCAGGTTTGTGTACGCTATTACTATCCACCAGCGTCTGCTTTGACGATGGGGCTCTGCCCTTGCGCGGAGCTCCTATACTTAGCTAATAGTAGTCGGATTGGTTCCCTGTACCACACTGCAGCGACGTGGTGTTGGAAATTGGGGTTGTGAGACAGGTTGCTTTGGGGTGTCGCTGATGGCTATGTGCGACTGATAGTACTTGTCGCAGGTCAAACATGGTAACATTGGCGAACCTGGATTTGTACACGAACATCCTCGGGCAATCTCGATACTACCAACGTTCGCGGGCCAATCACGTTTTCAGTCCCAACCAACCTTCCTACGGTTGAAATTCTTGGCCCGCGGGTTTTAACGTCACAAAAACGTAACTTTCCGCACTTGGCTTTTCCGCGATGATAGATTTTCCGCGTCTCATGCGTGCCGATTTTGGGTTATTTCCCTGAATTTCATTTCGTAAGGCCACAGTCCCACTTCTTTAGCGCCACAGCTAGATGTCTACAAATCGGATTTCCGGTTCTAGGATTACTTGTCGATTCGCCTCTCGCGACTCTCGTCGCTTCCAACCAGCCGCTTAACTAGCTCTTGTGAAGTAGCCGCTCTGTTGACGAAGTAACCGAAGTGGATAGAAGTGATCATACTCGAGGCTACCATACGATACACTGTATGCATGTATGATTAGCTGCTCATCAGATTAAGGGGTCATACGATAGATGAACTAGAGTTGTTACAATACAATCAGATACACGGTGTTACCGATTGACATTCAGGCACCTAAGCACCCACCTACACAAAGATACACCATACCCACATTCACCCGCATAGAATGCACACCCACATGATCACAATGCTAGTGAAATCCATTGCAGCAAGTAGAAGCCCCCTCGTCTTTCCCCCGCCAATACTACACACTCCCAGTCTTGACAGCGGACCCGCCTGGTGTTTCTATGCGCTGCTCTTGGCAGCTTCTAGATATGCAGAGAGAAGGACACGGTGGGGAGATGGCACGTGTCAGTACCACAGCACATGCTCACGTTGAGAAAACTGAAACGAGAATGATTCAACTATGAAAGAGTTGGGTACAAGTACTAACCCTAATTGGGTTGTACCCCATATGGGCTACCCCACTACAGCCTACACAAATGTATAAGCTATATGTTCTGACACACCCCCATAGGCAAAGTGGGGGAGAACAAGGGGTCACAAGACCAGTAAAGCAAAGGAAAGCAAAGCAAGCCCAGGGTGGATCACAAAGTCACCACACATTCCGAGCACAAGTTCAAGGCCACAAGGCCAGTTCACATGCAGGATTACATATATATATAAGGCTAGACAAGCAAGAGCAGGTATATATATATATATGTAACAGTACAAACAATGTCAAGGGGTGAGCAAGTGAGGCAAGACAGGGACAAGACCCAGCTGAGTGCAGAAGCGCTGATGATCACAAGGCGGAAGTGCCTTGGTGAAAACATCAGCAGTGTTGGCCTCAGAGGCCACGTACGCAAGCCGCAACTGACCACGCTGCTGTAGCTCACGAGCAAGGAAGTAGCGGAGAGCAATGTGCTTTGTTATGTGCTCCAGTCTCTGCTCTCGACACAAGGCCAGCATGGCCTTGTAGTCTACGTACAGCACTGGAGGAGAACGAGGTGGCTCTCCAAGGTCGGTCAGCAGGTAGGTGAGCCAGCGAAGCTCCTGTGCAGCCATGGCCCCGGCGTAGATCTCAGCCTCACAACTGGAGCCGAGAACAGAAGACGAACGAGTAGGCCGCCACGAAACAGAGCCGGAACCAAGGCTGAAGGTGTAACCCTGGGACGACCGCTGCGTAGCCTGGTCGTCAGCCCAAGAAGCGTCTGCGTGCCCAGTGAGGACCACTGGATTCCGCCCTCCAAGCACTAGCCCCATGCCCGACGTACTGCACAAGTAGCGCAACACCCTCTTCGCTGCAGCCATGTGCTCTGGTCGGTGTCTCCCAGGAGCAACATAGCGTGCAAGAATGCTAAGAGGGTATGCAAGGTCAGGTCGTGTGCAGGTCATCAGGTACATGAGACAGCCAACAAGCTCTGGATACGGGCCACTCGACTCTACGGACTCATCCGAAGGCAGAGCTGAGAGTGAGTGGCGAGAAGGCAGAGGAGTGGCCTGAGGCGAGGAGTACGTGAAGCCGAAGCGCTGAAGGACCTGCTGCACCATGTGTGACTGAGTCAGGGTAATGGTGCGGTGTGCTCTGTCCCGGGTGATCTGCAAGCCAAGGTAGCTGCGCAGTTCACCCAGGTTAGTGCACGTGTGTCTCTTCTGCAGCTCAGACTTCACGTAGGCGAGTCCAGCAGTGTCAGCTGTGGCAAAGACCAAGTCGTCGACGTACACGAGGATGTAGAACGGCGGCAGAGAGGTGTCGGTGCGCAGAAACAGCGACGGGTCGGCAGTAGAAGGAGCAAACCCAAGAGCCGCAAGCGTAGTCCTCAGTGTGTCGTGCCACTCACGTGGCGCCTGGCGGAGACCGTAGACTGGACGCCGGAGACTCCACTGGGTACCAGGAGGGAAAGACCCAGTGAAGCCAGGTGGGCGGCGCAGCCAAATCTCCTCGTGCAGGCTGCCCTGCAAGAAAGCTGTGCTGAAGTCGAGAGAGAGCAGCTCGTAGTCACGGTGAGCAGCAACGTGCAGTAGTACCCGAAGAGTGGTCATCTTCGGGGTGGGGGAGAAGGTCTGAAAGTAGTCAACTCCCTGCCGCTGACTGAAGCCACGAGCCACGTAACGTGCCTTGAAGACAGGCGGAGAACCCGGCGGCCGCTTCACCCTGAAAATCCACATGCCACTGACAATGTTCGCCCCAGGAGGGGGGACAGCGTCAACGTAGGTGCCTGTTGACTTCCACGAAGCCATCTCTGCATCCATAGCTGCCTACCACTGAGAGGAGTAGGGACCCTCTATCGCCTCCGTATAAGAGCGCGGAGTCGGGATGTCAAGTGCATCCGGGTCTCCCTCAGGGGTAAGCAGTACGGACACGAGATGAGGTGAAGTAGCTGCCAGACATTGGAACTCCTCCTGCCTGTCCTCAAGGACGTCCGTGCCAAGGGCACACTCACCCCCGACGGACGAAGGACAGACAGACTCAGACTCAGCGACAAGACTAGCAGCGTAGTCTAGGCGACAGCGAGCAGCAAAGTCGACGAGCTCAGCAACTAGGGCAGACGCAGCAGTGGACTCGAAAGAAGGGTCAGTGACGACAGTAACCAAGAGACGCGTGACAGTAGGACTGGCAGCACGAAGAGAGTCCGACTTCGGGTCGGCAAGAGCAGGAAGAGAGGACTCAGGAGGAGAAGGCAAAGGGGCTCGCAGAGGAGCAGTGGATGGACGCAGAGACATCCTGTGCGTGCCAGGGACAGGAGGAGGACGCGAACGCGAACCACGACCACTAGCGCGAGCAGCACGGACAGGCGACGTAGGGCGAGACGCAAGCTCACGACGCTCAGCAAGACCTCCAGTAGGACCAGTGTAGGGAGAAGGAGCAGGCAAAGGGGAGGTAGGCTGCAACTGTAACTGTGACGGGACAGGCTGTGGACACTCTAAGGGAGGAGGAGGACCAGTAGAAGGTGGAAGACCAAGAACCTGCTGCAAGAGTGGAATGAAGTACGGTTGAGGCCGCGTGGCGACGCAAGAAACAGCAGGGACAGCACCAGTACCTCTAGCAGGAGCACCCGCTCCAGCAGCACCTCCAGCAGCTCCAGAACCTCCAGCAGCACCAGGAGCACCCCCAGCACGACCGCCAGTGGTAGTCTCAGCGCCAACACCCTCAGCAGCACCAGCTCCAGTCGAACCTGCAGGCCCAGCAGCTCCAGTACTCCCAGGACGAGCACCTCCGGGACCCGCGACAGTAGCACCCTCAGTAGCCGACGAACCTCCAGCACCAGCAGCACGGCTCCAGCGCCGGGCAAACCACTCGCGCAGCTCCTGTGGAGAGAGTGGCTCCCGGCGAGACGAAGCACCCGGAGAACCTCCACGCGGAGCACCTCCAGGCTCAGAACCCCCAGGCCCAGCACCCCTAGGCAAAGCACCACCAGGCGTAGCACCCCTAGGCTCAGCACCCCCAGGCTCAGCACCCCCAGGCTCAGCACCCCCAGGCTCAGCACCCCGAGGCGTAGCACCCCCAGGCTCAGCACCCCCAGGCGTTGCACCCCCAGGCTCAGCACCCCTAGGTTCAGCAACCCCAGTAGCCGAAGAACCTCCAGCACCAGCAGCACGGCTCCAGCGCCAGGCAAACCACTCGCGCAGCTCCTGTGGAGAGAGTGGCTCCCGGCGAGACGAAGCACCCGGAGAACCTCCAGGCGGAGCACCTCCAGGCTCAGCACCCCCAGGCCCAGCATCCCCAGGCTCAGCACCCCCAGGCTCAGCACCCCCAGGCTCAGCACCCTCAGCAGCACCAGAGTCACCAGTGACCTCAACAGGCTCGACTGCATCTACCTGGGACACACCTGAAGGGAAAGGACCCTGAGGGGGGAGGGGGTCTACCTGGGGGGGACCTGGTACAAGGAAGAGAGGGGGCGGGGGGAGGGACGGAGTGCGGTAGGGGAAGAGGCGGTAGTAGGGGACCGACTCGTCAAACGTGACGTCCCGGGAGGACAGAACACGGCGAGAGGTGGGGTGGTAGAACTGGAGACCCTGGGGTGAAGGTTGATCTGATGCGCCGCGTACCTGACCGCAAACGGCCACAGAAAATGGGGGGCAGCCGCATACATCATAGACGTACGAGCGACGTCCATGACCATGCCAATGCGGCGCTCTGCAATCCCATTTTGCTGCGGAGAGTCCGGAACCGTGAAGGTCTGACGGATGCCCCGTGCGCGACAGTAG